CAGTTTCCCAGCTTTGGCTTCTGAAGCCCCTTAAATTCCCTGCCTCTTTAATCCTCTGTCGCCACTCTATAACCTACACATATGCGTGTGCAGAGAGATATTTAGTATGTGATATGTAGTGTGTGATCTGAGAATTAGTATTAGTAGTAATGAACACTGGAACCACCACACCCTGTGAATTTATTCAAGAAATTTGGACACTGGAAAGACACAACTGTGTGGTCTGTTTCTGACACGGGACATTCAGGATAATCGTGAAAGCAGCACCTCCCCCAGTGAGCTGCAAAAAAGCCCAATAAACTCACTGGTTTGCCAAGTTGGATTCTGGTAGAATTATATTTTGTTTGTTTTTGTTTTGGTTGTTATTGCCTTATTTGGGGTGAACAGACATTTGTTCACATCTTCCCAGGAAGAGTTAATACAACACAGCCCTTAGGTTCAGGTCAGCTGTGAGACTGTGTTCTCTCTCCTGTGGCACCCAGAGAGATCCTAATCTAAGCAGCTGGAAGAGCAGGTGGCCTTCCCTAGAGAGGACTGCAATTTTCTAAATGAATGAGAGTGTATATGTGTGTGTGCGTGTGTGTTAGGGGTGGGGTATGAACCTCACTTAGTCTCTTTAATAATTCCATAAGACAGGTATCTATCCAATCTGACAGGAAACAGGCTCAGAGGCAAGCAGCTTGTCCAGGATCACACAGGAAAGCAAGCAGAGTAATCAGATCATGTTCGGAACTAAGTCTGAGAGCTAAGCCTAAATTGTTTTATTCTCTCAGCTGAGCAGTTTCTATGGAAGGCACATGTTTGGAGCAGAGTGGGAAAGCAATGAGCCACATGATTTTAGTCGTGTCTTCCAAGTTGGGGTTCTGATCCTATCACCGGTGGGCGGGAAGGTGGAGACAGGGTTTGGAGCAAAGGAGAGAAGAAAGAGTCCGTGTTCTATGCTTCCTGAGTGGCAGTTGGAAGTTGCTGCTCCCAGCAGGATGTACTGTGACAGACTTAAGATTCTCAGAGTTAGTCATGTGCATAAATATGCAGTTCAGATACTGCACATAAAGTATGTAGCAGAACCTGGCATTAGGTCAATGGCAGCTATGACTGTGAAAACTTTATAAAGCTGGAAAATCTCAATATATATTTGAAGACAAAATGCTCAGCCACTGACATCATTGTCTGTTCAACAAGCAGCCATGTTTACAATGGACACTAAACTTTGATAGGTGAGACAAGAACAGAGAATAATGCCAAAGACTAAACTAGTCAAATCTAAAGCAGCCACAGTTAATTCAAACAATGGTTTATCAGCTGGGTCCAGTGAGAGAGGAATGGAACCCAGGAGCCCTCACGCACAAATCATTACAGAAGGTCTGCAGATCGACTGAAGCTCAACCATGGCCTCCAGGTACCAACTACCCGACAGCTCCTCGGAATGCAACATGAAATCCTCAATTCAGGAGCTTCCCACCAAGCCCACAGTAAGGCCACTCCCTCTTGTCCTTGCCATGTGCTCACTGCTGGTAGCCTGGACCATGACACCCACCCATCTTGAAACCAGGAGCAGCATCACGAAGGCTGTATCTAATTTCCAACCTTTCAAGTTTAATTGATTCCAAACTAGTAAATTTCTAAATCAGACCACTTTAGTACTTAGAGATTTTTGCCTGCTAGGCATCTTCTTTCCCCACCCATACTGTTGGGAAAACTCTTTTTTTTTTTTTTTTTAATGTTTTTTCCTTCATAAGGAACCCACCACATTTGGTATTGGTGGACTTGCCTTCGGTCATGGGACATATGAATAGTGTGGTCAAAAACATGCCGCTTGCTGTCTATTGCCCATTTTTAATCATGCTGATTCCAACAGGCCATCCATCCAAGCCAGTCAAAATACCTCCTTGATACTACTATTAGAACTACGGCAGAAGAATTACTCGTATTAAGATCTGCTGCAAAGAATGGTGGCTGGTGCTGATGGTTCCATCTGTCACCATGGTGCAGAGATGGAGTGTGGGACAGGGATGAGAATGAAGCTGATGGGAGGAAAGGTGGCAGGAAACAGGAGCGAGAGGGCGTATGTGGCTGGATGAAGGCCCTGGAGTCCCTCAACACAACTGTGCCTAAAGCTCATGCAAGGAGAAACATGCCAGTCACGTAAGTCAATAACTTAGTTTAAGTTGGAGTGCTGACTATGAGCAGAATAACTGTAACCAATAAACCTTATTTAAGGGAAAATAAAGGCCCAAAGGAGATTTCCTTCTATGAGTAGACCAGTCCCAGTGGAATTATGACCTAATTACGGTCAGTTCTCTGAATGAAATTCTTACAGGAAGTCTAGCTGTCAATGGGATAACTTTATCACCACACCTTTGCCAAAGACAGGTCCACCTAATGAGGTATTTTGAAGAATATAAAAGAAAATACACAAAAAGCTCACCAATGGCAAAGAAAAATATCCTATAAGGACGGTACGTATGAGAACAGGGTGTGGGGGTGGCGGCACCTGTAATTCTGCACTCGGGGGCCTGAAGCAGGAGGATTTTTGAGTTTCAGTTCAGCCAGGGCTTAATAGTGAGAGCCTGTCCCAGGAAAAAAGATGGGCCTGCAAATGGATGGGAATGTTCCAGGAAATCTGTGTGTAAGCACACCGCACACTGCCTGGCACACAGTCACCACCCAATGAACAGCAGACTCTAATTAGGACCACTGACGCTGTAAATCATTCACTTCCATCATTTCTACTCAATTTCCCACTGTCTGTTCCTCTACCACGACTATAGAGGTAACTTTCCTCCTCAAACTATTAAGTAGTTAGAGATCCAAAAGCAACTGATGTCCTTCAGTTCTACTTTATGGTCTACATAACATTTTTACACACAATCTTTTTTTTTTTTTCTTTCCCCATTTCCAGTAAGTTTTGAGTTAAGTATCATCCCCACTTTCCAGACAGGGAAACTGTAGCTCGGAAAGGTGGCTTTGGAAGGAAACTGCTAGAGCTGTGCTTAAGCCCAAGGTTTACCTAAGTTTCTTGTTCTTGCATTAATCAGTGGTTGCCAGCTGTGAGGCCCCTTGCTTCCCTGTGGTCTTCCCGGAGCCTGATGAATGAAAGCAACAGGAGCCTAGTGTGCCTCTGGTGGGCTGGGACACCGCCGGGTGGTGTGAGTGAGTGCCGGGCTGGCTGCTTTCTGGTTAACTAAGTATCTGTTGTACTTTCTGCTTGTGCTGCTGGACCACAAGGAAGACACACGGAAGTTTCTACTTTCCAAGAGCTAACAAAACACCAAGAAGGGTAGAGTAGGCAAGGTGATAAAAGAGGGCGCCACTTGGCTCGGAAGGAGGCAGGTGAGATTACGGTGACAAAAATAAGAAAGGATTCAACTGACCCTTAAAACAACAAAACAAAACAAAATACCAGGGCTCTTCAGGTGGAAGAGGGGGAAACATAATGAAATACGATGCCGTATGTGATGGTGGAACAGATTAGCCTGACAAAAACAGAAGGCATAGGGGCTGGGGAAATGGCTCAGTAGATAAAATGCTTGCTGGGCAAACCTGATGACCTACATTCAACCTTCAGCACCCATGTAAAACGCCACTGCGGTGGCATATGCTTATAATCCCAATGCTGGAGATGCAGAGATAGTCAGACCCCTGGGCTAGCTGGCCAGCTAGGCTAGACTAATCGGCCGTCTACAGGTCCCAGTGAGGAGGGAAAAAAAAAAAAAAAACAGCAAAACACAGGGTCAGTGGCTCCTGAGGAATGACACTCATGGCTGACCTCTGGCCTGGACACCAATACCACACACAATGACTAAAGAGAATAGTAAGGAGTGAGCAAGAGACGGGGCTTAGGTAGAAGGAATACAGAAGCCAGAGAGAGATGCCTGGGCTGGTGTGATGGGGAGTGGAAGAGACAGGGATGGTCTGTGAGCACAGCAGGGACATCCTGAAGGACAGCTAATGTGGCGTCTGTCCGTGTCCAGGCTTTAAACACGTCAGCCAACAGTCACCTGACTGCCAGAAACAAAGCCTCATTCACCTGGACTTCACTCATGAACAGTCTCAGTTCGAACCCGAAGAATCATATAACAACCCCCCCCAACACACACATACAGAATTTGAAGATACACAAACAACTGCTATTTGAGGAGTAAATTTGGGGTGGCTTATTATAGAGCAAAAGCTCACACCACAAAAACAGACTGCAGCTGCAAGCTGCAAGACCAGGAAGTGATACCATTTCAATCCTCAGATGCCTGTCCCTTAAAAAAAAAAAAAGATTTCGACCAGTGGAGTACTGTCAGTCGGATAGTCAGTCACACTAAGGTTAGAGGAGAATGAATACTAAGCAGTGAGAATGGCCTGGGGCAGGAGAGGTGACTCCGTGGTTAAGAGCACTGGCTGCTCTTGCAGAGGATCTGAGGACCCAGCTCAGTCACCAACACTCAGACGGTGGCCCACAACCATCTGCCGCTACAGTTCCGGAAGACACAATGCCCTCTTCTGGCCTCTGCAGGCAGCTGCACTCATGTGTACATACCTCCACACAGACACACATGCCTACACATAATGACAAATTGTACAACGGTATTAAAGAGGACACCGCCCAGTGTGGTGTAGTTGTGCACCCATTTTCACTACAACATACTTCAAGGCAAATTCCTTAGGCAAGGACCATTTTGTTGTTTGGGAGACCATACGAAACAAGAACAACATCAACATGGGCCTGGGAATGGTTTCAGTATACAGAAATTTTTATTTTAATAGCATCTGGCATGCAGTCATAGATCTGTTCCTTGCCTCAATTCTTAGCAAAAAAAAAACAAAAAAACAAAAAAAAAACCAACTTTTTTTTTAAGGCATGGAAAATTCATAAATCATTCAGGGAAAAATGTGCAAATAAATATTCAGTCATGTTTAGGGATGCATTTGACTTAAAGTGTGTCTAGCATTTCAAAAGTAACTTTACACAGTCACTTTGTTTTAATAATGAATGAATGAGACCTTACCAGCAAGGCTTTTCGTGGGCCAATGTCTCCAGGTTTTAAATGGTGGGGTGAATCTGAAAGAGAATTAAACAGACATTCCAGAAGTGAGTCACATGTGGAAACGATATGCTTTCATCCCAAGTGACTGTGTAATGCTGAATATTTATTCTTTTGGTTAAAGATTAACAAATCTTGTTCCTGGCTCCTACTAGAGTAGGGAGTGATTTTTTTGCCTACATACTTCAACTTCCTGAATAGAAGGCATTCTCTCATCTGCCTCAGAGAGTGGCTGGAAGGCTGGGGCCAGCATAACTATAAATGGTAGTGTTTTCAACCAAACTCTAAGTGAGCAAGAGCCTCCTCGGTTGTCGGTCCTGCTTTGGTCCCACAACCCCCTGATGCCAGGATTAAGCCTAACTTGAAGGACACTAGGAGGGATGTGCCAGGCTTTCCAATGCAGTCACCTGAGCATGTAAATAATAACATTTTGCTTTACTGGTAATGAATGGCAAGCCCCAAGAGAAATATAATAGAAGCTACACCAAAAGTAAAAAGAAATGGATGAAAGTCTTCACAAGAGATTTGAATGCTTAACAACACTATTGCAACATGAAAATTAAATTTTAATATAAAGATACTTTACATTTCTTCATTTAAATAAACTTTATTATATATATTTGAGGTTATAGGTGACATTATGAAATAATTATATAAATAGAAAAAATGGTCCCCACAGCAGCAGTGACTAACCCCTTATCTCATAGTTATTTTGTAACAAAAACAGCTCAAATCCTTCCTACAAATTATCACCTGAATCTGTGTCTGCAGCTTCTACTTCCTCACCTTACATCTGCTTCTTTGTGTCCTCTGACCTGCAGCTGTTCAGTTCTTCCCAGGCTGTAGTTTCAAAATTAAATCATGAAGATCCAGTACCTCTCAACTCAGAATAGCCACCAGCCAGTGACTGTACATAGGACGGAACAGACTGAAAAGGGTATTCTCGGCTTTCAGTGAAATCCAAGCTACAAAGCAAATCAACTGAAATGGAGTATGTGTGTGTGTATACATACATGCACATGAGTATGAGGCACACCCAGGCATACATGTGCTGGGATTAGAGGTTAATGTGAGATGTCTTCCTCTACTGCTCTTCATCCTATTTTATTTATTAATTATTTTCTGCATACGAATGTTTTGACTGCATTTATGTATGTGCACCACAGTGTTCTCTTCAGGAGCAGCAAATGCTATTAAACCGCTGGCCATCTCTCCAGCTCCTTCACCACACGTTTCTGAGAGAAGGTCTCTCACGGAACCTTAAGCTTACCTTTCCGGCTAGACTCTGGCCAGCGAGCCCCTGGGATCTGCCTGTCTTTGCTCCACAAAACTAGGGTAACAGATGGTAATGCTGCTGCACCAAGTTTTTATGTGGTGCTGGCAACATGAATTCAGGTCCTCGGGCTTGGGCAGCCAAGACTTTTATCCACTGAGACATTTCCCAGCTGCCCAAATGGAGATAGCAGTCACCATTTCCTTCGAAATAATCCATCACCATCTCATTATGATAGAAATCGGCTGCAGCAAATATTCCACAGCACCATTCAGGGGCCTGCAGGACCTGCTCCTGTTCCTTTTACCTCGGCTAATCCTCAAGGTAACTTTATGTGGTAAGTATGTAATGGGGCAACAGAAGTCCAGTGAGATGGCAGGACTTACCCAAGGCTTTAAGAGTCCATGCTTGTAGCAATGCTACTCTACTCTCAATTAAGCCTGAACATCTCAAAATAAGATTTCCTTTCGTTTTTAATAATAACCACCAACTATCCAAATCAGCTCTCATGATAACATGGTTAGGCAATCGCAGTGACGGCAGATGGGAGAGTTACTTTATGCTTGAAAATTAAAAACAATTTGACATGGGAATATGAAAACCACAAGCAGGCCTGGAGTCAAGCAGAGTGCAATGAATCTGGCATCTGTGTGGATGAGAGGGGAAGTGGGGAGGCAGGGAGGGAGGGAGGGAGGGGCCTGGAGTCAAGCAGAGTGCAATGAATCTGGCATCTGTGTGGATGAGAGGGGAAGTGGGGAGGCAGGGAGGGATGGAGGGAGGGAGGGGGGGTGAAGGGAGGGAGGGAGAGGAGGATCATATGAGATCTACAGAACACCTTGTCTCTGCCATCTGTCTCAAGGCCCATCACTTCCATCCTTCTCCAAGAAGTCACAACTATATCTATGCATCTGTTTTAGCAGCAGTAAGGAGTTAAGACAGAAAGAATAAAACAGAAAGTTCTGAATGGAAAAAAAAAAAAACCACATTCTTTTATTAATGCATGGGCAGACGTCACATGCAATGAAGAAACTTAGACCCACAGGATGAACAGGCCAGCTCATCCATGACACTGCAGAAGCTGCAGGCTAAGGCTGCACCAGAGTCACACACTGGGCCTCAAACCTACAAGAAGACTCACGGAACCTCCCACTTGTCTCATTCCTACCATTCCCCATGGGCATGCTATACGCCAGTCACCCAGACCTCCCTGTCAGGCAACCAGCGATAACCTGGTGGTTGCTGCTGCAGCGTTCGTTCAATTCAGCTGACAAAAGCACAGGAAACAGCAGCTACGGAAGAGCTGGTCTTTACGGAGTCAGGTACCAATGTACCACAAGCTTCTTTATACTGTTAGTAATTCTGAGTCACCCTTTATTGCCCCATTTAGCAGGTAGGTAAACAAGCATAACTAAGTTGGTAGCCTAAAGTCACAAGGCAGGTTGGTAACAGCACCAGATGGGGAAGCCAAACAATCTGCTTCCTATAACAGCTACACTGTACCCCATCCATGCGGTTCCAGCTGCCTTCTCACCACCCTTACGTCTACTGTCACAGGAAGCTCTCAGGTTTTAGTTGGTGATGTGCTGGTCTCCCTGCAGACTTTTACAGAATCCTGGAAAGTCGAGAACCACCTTTATATCACATTTTTATGTCTCCAAGACTTCCTAAACTATTGTAGTTAGGTGCTCAATAAAGACACATGGAAAAGCAGCAGTGTCAAGATGGAACACAGGAACTCATAAAAACATAAAGAATGACTGGATATATGCTTTAACAAAGCAAGCTCTACCTTAGTCTTTGAAATCCAGCCATTACCAAAGCAGCAACACCTCCTAGGTCTATTCAGTGCACAAGGGAACACAAGCAACAAGAGCTTCCCTGACTTACCCATATCTCCAAGGGATTATTCATTGGTTTGATTCTGCTTTGCATATGGACTATGTGTGCATGTGTGTGTCTGCTTGTGCATGCAGGCCAAAGAGCAGCGTGGGTGTTGTTCCTCGGGCACTGTCTACCTGTTTTTGAGACATTCTCTCTCTGACCTAGAACTTTGCGCGAAGGCCAGGCTGGCCAGCCACAAGGGCCTTGCCTGTTACTCTCTGCAGCACTTGGATTACTGTGTGCTACTCCAGGCAGCTTTTGTGCATGGGTGCTTGTGGTTGACCTCAGCTTTTGCAAATACTTACCAGACCGAGCTACCTCCCTGGCCCTGCATATGGGTCTTCTGTGGAAAGCATGCCTAGCTAGCATACAATGGTTTTGTCTGGAGAAAAGAGACCCACAATGAAAAGTCTCCTTACTTGCCAGGAAATGGCCCAGAGTTCTACAGCATCTTTCTAAACTCCTTCTGGATGACCACAAAAAGCAACTGTGTATAAAGACATGATCCTCTTCAGGATCAGAGACAGGCAAAGACCCCTGGGGAGAAGGAGCTTTTTCTAGTTTATCCCAAAGACTGCACCAGTCCAACACCCACAGACAAATGCAGTTAGCTGTAATGCCCATCCGAAGTAGAGACATCATGTACTATCTTCTCATGAATGTATCAGCAGCATCTGTCACTTATGACCAAATTATGCATCTGTATTTCAATTTTTTGCTATTTCCACTCTTACTGGGGTGTTTACAAATGCTGTGCTGGGCCTAGCTGTAGGCACTAGGGATGCAGCTGTGAATAAGGTGAGTGATGTTTTGGACATAAGGGCCTGTAGAGGGTAATAATGTGCAGACAAAGTAAGAAGTTGATTTCAAGCAAGAGTGGCTCTAACAGTCTTGACAGGAGCAGAGAGTGTCATGACTAGTGAGGAGGTCATCTGCTTCTCTTCTGCAGCTACATGGAGGTACCTAGATGCAACAGTGGGCTGAAGGCCACCAAGTCTGAGCCCATTTGGCTATTCAGGTGAGAAACGATGGTGACCTGGCCTCGAATGGTGACAGTAGGGACAGAAGGGATGGACTCTGGAGGTAAAATGACCAAAACTAGCCAATGGTGTCGACGTGGGGCCCCTATCCTAGGAACAGCATGTCCCCAGGGTAGTGAACCGGCCCACTTCAACCAAAGGTGTTGTTACCACTTTGCCTCCACCTCAAGCTGGGCTCTGTGCAGACAGACCTGGCTTGAGCTGTCCATTGAGAGTAAGACACCATCCTTAATATGCAGACTAAAAGTCTACTTTTTAAAAAAAGATTTATTTATCTTCTGCATGAGTGTTCTGCCTGCCTGTATGTATGTGCATCACGTGCATGTCTGGTGCCTGCAGAGGTCAGAAAGGGGTTCCTGGAATTGAAGTTTTAAGTGGTTGTGAGCTACCGTGTGGGTGCCAGGAACTAAAGCCAGGTCCTCTGACTCATGGGTGTAGGGCCATCCCCCGAAGTGTGCTGACCTACCAGGGGTTGACACACCATTAAGGAAGACGGTCTCTTTCTCCTCCCAAAGCTACCAATTGTCAGCATCTCCTCAGTTAGGGGTGGGGCTTGTGGGCCCTTCTCATTAACACACCACCAACAAAATCATGAACAGTTCCTAAGATCTGTTGTTCCCTAAGCATTTCTGGAGATTTATGTGTACACACACACACACACACACACACACACACACACACACACACGTGCGTGTCTGTGTTTATGTGTGTGCACCACATGCACACAGGAGCCCACGGAGGTCACTAAAACATGTCTAATCCTTGGAATTGGGTTATAGGCAGTGATGGGCTGCCACAAGGGTGCTGGAAACAGAACCCCTAT